GACTTTAAGCACCTCCTAGACTATGACTTCATATGAGACAAAAATGACTGCACTGAATGAGAAATAAGCACAAAGTTAAGTGGCTTCACACCACAGAGCATGGCACTAACAGACAAAAACTTCTATTTAGGTAACAGTTTGCAAAAACTAATTATGGGCAAGAAATAGCCTCAAAACATTGATGGGTCTTCTGAGGCAACAAGGTTCTCTTGATGTGTGTTTCTTCAAAATTCAGAACCTCATTTTCAAAATCTTACAAGTGAACGAGCATTAGGAGCCCTTGGCCTGACACAGGCCTTCTGGAATTGCTGGCATAGAAACATCTCATAAATTCCGTGTTTAAGGTTTGATATTTCAGCTATGTCAGAACTGCAGCGGGAAATAATCTGAAGAAAAAGTTACCAGAAAAAGCATTTTTGTAATGGCTTTTTTCAACGTGGTTTGGCACTGGTTAAACTGATTTTCAAGTATGAAGTGAAACTCTGCCCTAATTATAAAGGGGAAAACCTGAGCTTCAAAAGTACTATAATGTCTAGGTAATCATGATTGAATCAGATAAAGCTCCTGCTTAAAAAAAATTAGGTTTATTTCTGATTACCTTTTATCTCCTACCAACCTGAAATGTGCTACCTAGACTATCTAGCAGAAAACAAAATTCTTGAACGAGAGAGAAGTTTTCTGAACAAGTCACAGTTGTTTCTTGGGCATCAATGATAAGATGTGCAAATAGATGCCTCGCATATACCCTGCACTTGGAAAGTCACCAATTCCCTTCTGCTGTTACAATCATGTGGCTTCCAGAACTGCAGCTCTGGACTTTTGCTTGGGTTTTTTGAGCAATTCTGCCATGCCAGACAGTGAATCTGTGGTTCAGGTTAAAAAATGTGCCAGTGAAATCAGACAATGCAAAAAAAAAAAAAAAAAATAAAAAAAATCTATCTGAAGATATGACAAAAACAATGGAAATAAAAAGAAAAAAATACCCTTTATAAGCATCAACTTCAGAACCGAGTTTCAGGTTTCCCCATTAAATTGATGACTAAGAGCACTAGAAGTCTACAAAATTTCCAGGGGTTTTCAATGCAGCTCCTTGGAACAAACAGCAGAGTAATTATTACTCAGTCTCCTGCTTTACTCATAACCCTTCAGTCTCCTCCTTTCAATCAACTTCTAGACATACACAAATTAAAACAAAACAAAATAAACTAGAAAGCATTAACCGGGAGCTCTTTACAAAGGGGTATGTAAAGCCATCAGCAAAACTGTTCCCGATTCCACAAACAGCAGCATCAGGAGGCCGTAAGTGGCAAAAACCTGACACTGATGGTGTCAGCACAACCTTTCATTGCATTCTGAGAATGTGAATCTCTATGGCTATGAATTTGATGTTATGCCTATGCTACATAAGATAACTGCTAATAAAACCCAGACTGCTTCATCTGCCTTTTTCAAGCATCAAAGGCTACATCTACAATACAAAGACAATGTGTGGACCAGGAGGAATAAAAAGGCTGTGCTGAGGACTTCAGGTCCACAGCACATACCTTTCAAGAGGTTTTAATTTCACTCTAGCCTAGTCCTATGGGTTGAATGCCTACTGGATGGCACTTCTGCAGCACAACTTTCAATTTTGTTTCACTTGAAAGGAATCCAGCCCATGAGCTCTGGGGACTGCTCCACAATGCGTATAATACATGAGGGACAATTAGGAGATGCATTTCCAAAGCACACTCCTGATTTGACCTAACACACTAATGTAGATGCATCCAAAGAGCTAAGAACATGTTGCTGCATTAAACCCTCTAAAATATAGGAGTACCAAGGTCATGAAGAGTTTATCTCCCTCTCTGTTAATAGGAATTGTGGCCTTCAAAGTGCTTCACATATGGGCACCAACCTACAATGAAGACAATTTTTACAGGAGCAGGCACTGTGTTTCTGATTCCAAATACGTTCATTTCCCACCTGCTTGACCTTGTTATCTCCAGGATTTTTATTCAATTAGCTCTCCACATTTAGAAAGCTTATCTGTGTAGCTGAGTATTTTATTTTCAGAAGAGTTTGTCAGCCTTTACATCTGTTCTACTGACAAGGGTCTTCTCCTTGACAACCTTGCAAAGCACACATTACTGCGTTAAAAAAATCATCAGATGTCTCATACACTTGTGAGAAACAGGGTTCCTTGCCTTCTTCACTTGGGCTCTCCCTCCCCCTTCCCAGTTTTATAGTAGTCAAGAAGATTTACTTCTCTTCTAAAAAATAATATATAAATAAATACATTGCAAGTCACAAACATTAAATACTTAATTTGAACCGGCAGAAAGACCAGCTACCGAAATTCTACAGTGGTCTGTTAGCTCGTATGTCTCTGCATGTGCATATTGAAGGAAACAGCAGAAATAATACTTTACAATTTGATGAACAACATATGACACAGAACCTCTAGACTCATAAGAAAAGGTTACAAACTTAGGAAAATACCTTCCATGTAGAATTCTGCCCTCTCCAATAGAAAAAAACCTGTACACTCCTTACTTTCACTGATACAGAACCACCATCATTATGGCTTGATATATATTAGATTAAAGAAGAAAATAATCACTAAGGACTTAACTGAAGTTTGGGTGATAAAAAGGGACATTTTCTGAGTACATGTTGGATGTCAAAACAGAAAGGCTGATACTGTGTCATCTGCTTTCAGGCAAAATCCTCCCTTGATTTCAACCATAAGTTCTGCTTACAGTTGGCACCATGGCTTATAATAATTTAACTGCATTTCTTTCTGGAGCAGAATAAAACATCACTCTCCATTTCATCATGCACACAGGAGGAAACCATGAACCTAGTTTAAACTGGAAAGAGAAAAGAAGAAGAGGAAAAAACAAGCGTATTTGATTCTCACAGTCTACAGAATTATCCCAATGCCAGCTGCAGAGAGGAGTATTATCTCTGAAAATCACAAGAAGCAATCATAGCATCAGAATACACAATTAGAAGACTGTGCTTTCAAGAGGCACAACAGCAAAGTAATACCAGCAAATATGCCTAAGTTAAAAAATGAGTTAAATTGTTGCATTGGTCTCACAATAAAGCAGTGCATACACCTATTAAATAACCAATAATTCCCATTTCTGCAAATCAAATTCTGCACCCAACAAACAGCCCATACTAAACTTAATGATACTGCCTATTCTTTCTTTCCCATAAAGATACAAAAATAAAAGGGAAACAGTCTAGCCTATAAGATGCCACAAGGGTTGCATTTAGCCCTTTCCACTGAAAACTCAGTTTCTGACTACTAGCGCTTGGCAAAGAAAATCTTTTTAACATTTCACAGTGCTGCATTTTCCCTCTTTATAAAGCTCTTCAACTACTCCCATTCTACTGTCACACATTCCTAATACAGTAGGGATGGCCTGCCTGTTATAAATTACTCTTGTAAACCAGCTATTTCTGCTGCTTCCTCTGGGGTTGCACCCAAGGTGAGAATCAAGCAAGCAACACTCAGGATCCACATGTGCAAGGTCTGAGTGGGACAGAAGGAAGCAGACAGTAACTGATCCATATTTTACTGCCCCTGGCATTTGCCTTCTGCAAGGTACCTTTGAGAACATCACCAGCACAGGTACATTTGAACATGCCACCTTCTTTCTAACGCTAATGAGCCTCTTCACATACCCAAAATCTGCTTGACTTTAAAACCACAGGCATAAGCAAACATCTAGTATGTAACGGTCTGTTTTCTCCAAAGAAATATTCTGGGGTACTTTATCACTGTGGACAATGCCACAGAACTAGTTCTTAAAGTGACTGTTAAAGTCACCTCCCCCTCACTTGGCTGCTGATACTCCAGAGAACCTCAGCTGTAGCTTTAAGTACCTTCTGGTCTTGTTAGAGCTTTTGGAAGTATGTACTTTTAAGGCTCTGCTGATATCTTTGCAAAAGAACTGAACAAAATGAAGGGAAAAATAACTGCAGCGAATAAAGAGAAGGCAGAGTAAAATAAGGGAACAAAATTGAGATGGATTTGAAAAATAAGTTTAAAGAAAACTGTTGACCAGATAAAGGGAAATGGAACTGGAAAAGGGAAATCAGAAATGGTAACTTGTGATGGAGCACACAGCCACAACTTTGTATTTTCTAATACCCAATCATGCTTTCCAAGTGACATCCCCATCACATTTCTTTTGAAAGCCTCTGTGTAAGTGAAACATGTGCAGAGAAGAGGTGCACAAGGCAGGCTCTCGTCAGCTGTAAACATTAGTGAGAACACAGAATTTCTAGTATCTGAGACTGAAACTTTTCCATGGCCAAAGAATCAAACCACACATACCTGATTGCCACGTCTACACACTAAAGGGCCAGCAGAAGAGGAAACAATGAAACATATTACTAGTCTCTACAATTATAGGAGGCATGAAGATGGCCCTGACTGGAAAAACTAGATTCTAAGTGCAAGTATCCCACTGTTCTTTTTTTCTTTTTTTTTCCCCCTCTCTCTTTCTCACTGGATTTAAGGAAAATACCCTGTTTCCAGGCAATGTAGGACAAAGAAGTTTTGGTTTTAAAACTTCTAAACTTTATCTTGTGCACACTACATCTGAATATTGTCACCTCTCTTAATCACCTTCTGATGTCTGATAGTGCCCCTTTAACCTTTGTTAGTCAATTACTGAACAAGTTATCTCATTGTTACTCTCTTTTGAAGGAAGAGTTGTGCGCCTTTTCATGCTGATAAGAGACACATAAATATTCACTCCCAGCAAACATTTAATAGTAAAGTGTCTTGAGCAAACTACCAGAGTCTAAAGGTAGGAAGCTGTGGTTAACTTCTCTGCTATCTTAACCCTTTAGTCTTAACCCGCAGAACAAACAGACACAGAAGATGGATGCTCTTTTTTACAAATTAAGCAGAAATAATTGTTCTCTGAAAGAATGGACTTTATAACATGCTTTATAACACAGCAAATAAATCAGATGATTGGAAGTGAAATACCTACCCATTTTCTGGGCCGGCCTCTGGGTCGCTTTTCACCAGTGGCTTCTGCTTTCTGTAAAGGGAGAAGAAACACAACGTATTTTGTACCTCAGCACTATTTAACAGGCTCGGTAACTAGGAACTCCTTTCCTGTAACATTAACCATAATTATCTCTCTTGGGTGGCGCCAAGCCCCCTCCTGCTCTATGGGTGGAATAACCTGGTGGAATGTGATTATCCTGTTTTCTCTGACACTTCCTAGCCAGCGTGGCTAGGGAATGCACACCAAGGGTGTCCCTGGTCCTGATCCACCCCATGGCCAGGGGCACAGAGAAGCGTGCCATGCACATCCAGCTGCTCAGTGCCCTCAGCACAGCCTAGCGTGCTCCAGCCTGGGCCAGCCATGGGGCATGCAGACTGTGGATGGGGGCACAGGGCAGTTTCGGGGCACAGGGCAGTTTGGGAACCCGAGAACCCCCAGTAACACCAAACCTAGTCTTGCACAGGCTGCCAGAAATTTATTTCAGCATTCTCCTTCTTCCTCTCAGTATTTTAAACAAGAGAGACAAGGATGGGGACACAGTAAAAAGCACCACTACTACACACAGTGGAAAGTATAGTCTTTCTGGTTATTTCAATCAACTGTGATGCACTACACTGGCAAAACACTTCCCAAGCATTAGAAAGATGAAAACAAACACAAAACATCTACATACACACAGACTCACTAAACCAAAAATACAGCCTGTTTCAAGCCTAAACAAAGCACATTATAGGAACCACAATTCCTTCTTTTGGTCTCATGATGTTCATGCATGAAATGGATTTGGACAGACTATTACCATGAACATGTGTGTGTTTGTATTGGGAAATAACCTCTCTACTTCATGTGAAGTTTTCCAGACAAAAGCACATCCTTAAGCTGCAAGCAAACCTTTCACTGGTCCAAAACACACCTTCCCTTTTCAGGTTTAAGGAAACAGCCCTGGAAGTGACAGCTATATTTACGTAAGCCCTGCTATAGGTCCTGAGGCTCAGTGCAAAGGAAATATGGATTCTCTTACAGACACTTTCATTAATTAATGGTATGACACTGTGAATACTATGTTGTACGTGCTACACTAAAATACTCACAGGCTTTAAAATGAAAATGGCAGGTTATTTTCTCTAGATAGGTTCTCGCCATCCACACTCCTCAGCAGGTACATAATCCTGTCCCACTGAGGGTGATGAGGACTTTTGTCACCACCTTTAGTGAGGGCAGGACTTGCCATATACAAAGTCCCTGAGAATAAAGACTTTTAGAACACATTCTGTGGATGTGTTTTCACATTTCCATTCATTGTTTTTTTCCCATTTAACTGTATGTTTATTGGATTTGCCCTCAGAAATCAACTGTGTCATTAAATAAATCACTTGCTGGTCAATCTCTGTAACATATACTGTAACCTAATGCTGTGTAAATCGAATCCCTCTATAAGAGAACCTGAGCTGAAGAAGTTGTGGAGGAATCTCTAAAAAAAAAAAAAACCTGCCCTGCAAGTTAAATGCAATTATTTTGAAATAAACATCTCAGCAAGAAGAAAGCTGTGAAAAATAAAATTCACACTCCTAAAGGGCAAAATTATCACTCGGACTTGTTAAAAGAGTAAACCTGCTCTTTAATCGTTTATACCGGTGTTACACGTAAGGTGAAACTCTCTTATGAGAATACTTGTTAAAGTGCATTTACTATATCCTGTAGCTGTCTATTTCATAGTTTTGTTTCCTTTTAAAGTGTTCATTTCTTTACACCTTATAACCTGAAGGATGCAAAAAAAGATGTGGCTTAGTTTTGACAAGCTATCGCCCCCTCCATTTACGTTTACTTCACAAAACACTGGGTATAAAACTGAAGAGAAAATATTGGTTAAAATTGTTCTTAACAAATCAACACCTGACATACTACCAAAGCACAAATGCCATTTATTTTCTTCTGTATTTTACCACATCTGAAGGAAAGACCCTTTTCCAAAACTCTATGAAAAACAATTAACTTCATGGAAATGAAAACTACTTTGGTCTTATAATTAAAGTTCCTACAAACCTGACACAAATTGTAAGTATAACTACAGTGTATAATCCAGTTTGATGGGAAAGAGAACATGAGAGATTTCTTTGAGCAACTAATCTTTGCTTCCTGTCATGAACTGTCACACAGCATGGCCGCTTGCCACGAACAGGGCTGCGCTTTACCCCCAAGGAAGGACTATGTCAGAAGTGGCTAGTGTTCCTGCTGGCTACTTTAGATATCAGTTTGTCAAGTGCTTGGGGACCTTTCAGATTGAAAGGCACTATATTCCTGCTGTATATGATTTCTACCTCATATTAGAAGAAAAACATTTCCATGGTTCTTATCAAAACCAAATCTTTCCCAGAGGTGAGCTGAGCAAACAGCAGGGCATGCCAGAGACGGTGTTTTGGTACAGAGCAATTCTGTAAGTAAATAGCAAGGTTTCCACAGACTAAACTGCAGAAAATGAAGGACAAGAACCTCCAAAGCAGAGGTTTTTATCTCCATTCCAAGGGAAAAGAAAGACAAAACACTTCTGGAACAACCAAAAGGAGTAGTGGGAGTCCAGTAGTGATGATGAAGACACGAAGCTTAGGAAAATATTCTAACTCCCTCTGGATGTTTTTTAGTTTGCATTTTGCAAACATAGCTTATGTTTTCTCCAACAGCACAAGACTGTCTTTTAATTTGAGCACCTGAAAAAAGGTTTCATTGCATATCAGACACATAATTCAATGTTTCTCCACATAATTTTAAACTAATTGATAAGAAAAGGAACACGTAAGTGCCAAAGCATTCCCCTTCCTCTGAAACAGGTATTTGCATAATCAGAAACATGCCAGTCTGTTGCCTCTTTGCTTTAATTGAAGTGTTGCCTCTGAAGCTAGGAACAAATCCAGAGAGCTCCAAGCCACCCAGAAGTAACACTGATTCGCATCTGGGGATCAAGATGCACATGTTCCCAGCCACCCTACATGCAGCAGCTGGTACCTGCTTCATCAGAAAGGAAGCTGCTGCCTTCATCCTCTAAAGCACTTTTTGAAATTGAGATGTGTTTGGTCAGGGTTTTCTTAACATTTGATGCTGCATTATGATGCATGATCTTGTTCTGTACAGCCAAGACATGGAATCATCACACTTAAAGGAGGGTTGGGAATGTTATCGAACTCAAAACAAGTTTCATGAAAAATCATGAAATTCCTTACAAACAATAATACGAATACATCATTTTGCTATGTCACATTTTAGGAGCAGAACTAGACTTACTTGCTTTTAAGTGCATGATCTATATGGAAAATGTGGGTGGTTTTTGCCCCAGGTGAGGACTATGGTCATTCCAGTCATTGCTGCCTGGAATCAGCTAACAGTCCCCAGGCCGATTTGCAGTTCAGCTAAGCCTTGTATGACAGGGCCATCAAACCCTGCTGCTGAACAGATTTGACTGCCTATCATCTCTACCTCCTTGTTGCATAAATGCACTGTGCCCAGACAGACACTGAGGCTGTACTACTGAAAGCAATTAACAAGACAAGTATAAATAATTGAACAGTTATAAAGTGCTCTTTGGGCATCTATCTGTTGTCAAAGAAGATCTCAAATGCAACAGAACCCAAATTTGGAGAACTCTATCCGCTTTGCAAAATGATCTGCTGGAGACCTCAGATAAAATGTGTCAGAGCTGTAAGTCAGGTGAAATAACTGAGAGGTCTCAGAAGAAAGATCACTGTGTCAAAAGACCTTTCCCAGAAATGTCTCCCTCTCCTAAAAAAAAGTTATTTTGCTAAAAAATAGGCTAGGCATTGGCTAGATAAAAAAAATACCACGCTTCCCACATCCTGTTTTACCCATTTTAATTCTAACCTTGAGTCAGTCTTCTGCTTCTCCCACCTTGCTCAAAATGCCAGATTTTGAGGTCTTATTTTTTAGGTACAATCACTTGATAAATCTGATCTTGTTTTCCCTTTAAGCCTGTAGTGACTGGTGTTGGTGAGAATGAATGAAGCATGGAGAAGCCAAATAGATTTTCATGAACCAATTTAGGGCAGAGTCCTGGTCACATGCGCTTTTGTTTTTTTTTACCTTTGGACTGCTTAACTCAGGGACATGCCTTTCTACATACCAAACTCTGGCCATGTAATGTAGAGACAGTAGTAAGTGTAGTTACACACAGTACCACAAATCCTGGTTTTCAGAAGATGGTATTTCAAGATCCATAGGCGTTTTCGGTGAATTTCACTACATCAATAGCAACAACAAAACTCAAAATATTTTAACAGAAGGTGAATTTCACTAAAGAGTGCTTACTTTCAGATATTCCTGGGATATCCCTTGACATTTTCTTTCAAGATAAACACATAGTAGCTACTACTCCTTTTTTTAACCTCACAATTGTGTTCCTTCCTTCCAAATAGGAGAGTATTTATGCATATACAGTATTTCTGTCAAGCCCAACTACAGGAGCTAAACAAAGAAAAGCCTTTGAATGCTTAAGGGAAATGCAATGGGCTGGGAACACAGCTGAGCTTAACAAATAAAGCTCAACCACAGAACACTCAGGAAACTAAAAAAGAACATCCCTACTAAGATCATCCTGCAAAACTAGTCATTCATTAGGGAATAAAAGGGAAATCTTCACTTTTTTGCTAATTTTTAACAAATATTTTGAATGAATAACATTATGATTTGTTTAAAGACACAGACTTCAGTAACAGCCTAATTGTGGGGACTCAAGTACAAGATGATCAAGAGCCTTTTTGTGTCTATCTCTTCTCATCCACTAACATGTTGTGTTCCTTCCATTTGCAAAAATTAAACGATTGGGAAATGGTTTGGTTTTCTATAAAATGCAGTTTACCTTTTGTGCCCAGTTTCTAACAACTCAGGCATGTGTGACATGTGAGGCTTTTAAAAAAATGCCTATTAGCTAAAATTAGAGTAATTGCCACATTATTAGCTGTCCAGTTGGTCTTGCAACATTCTGTATGCATTGTCAAGTTTCACATTGCTAATTTCCTAACAAGCACAGTTTGTTTTCAGATGCCCCAAGGCCAGTTTACTAAGACCAAACACAAGCTCTGAAAGCTAAAAAAAGGAAAAAAAAAAAAAAGAAAAAAAAATCCCATGAACCAAGAAATTTAAAATACGGAACACAACCCTAATTCCAGGGTAAATTGTATGTCAACTGATTTAAGGGCATTTCCTTTCTGAAGTGTGACAAAACAAAGTCTCGGTTCTGGAGTATTTTTATCTCGCTGCCAGTTTGTGCAATACATTTTTAATTGTGATGTGTAATGGTTTGCAAGAGAACACCCAATCAATTAATCATGAGTGCCTTCTCATGGCTTCTCGGTGGGTTCTCCTAGCCAACGTTTATCTTACATGTTGTGAACACTCTAATACATTTCAATGAGCTCCCTTTGAAACAACCAGGGCACACACTATTCTTTAGAAATTCCAGCAAATTCCAGTTGCGTGTATAGTACCCAGGTTCACATGTAGAGGGGCTTAAGCTAAGTTAGCCAGCTTTCTTTCTGAGAGTTGAGACAGGCTGTAGAAAGCCATAAATATATGTATGCATATGGATGTGTAAATATGTTTACCACAAAATTAAACATATAGCTCACTCCTGTAAAAGGTGATACCCTCACCGCCAAATGAAGCTTTCTCACAGTGCCAAACCCTTTCCATCCATATTACAGCTAGAAAAACTAAGAGAATTAATATTACATAAAAAAGCACTCTGAGATGCCTATTGAGAAGCTGAACCATTTTAGACAGGGTTAATTATCAATTTGGAAAAAGAGCTAAAATATTTATTTGAAATGTGATCTCAATGACTTTCTTCTAGTCAGGCTTTATAAGTGGTTTATGTTTTAGAGGATTTATCAAACATTTATATACATTATCAATAAACCTAGAAACAAATCAGACTTGTAATTACATACCTCTCCAAGAGGCTTTTTTATGATAAAAGAAGACATGTGGTCTTTGGTCAATTTTTCACATTACCAACACCCAAAAAAGTTTGCTTTAATTAGAGCAGTAATTTGATGCATTCTGAAAATCAAAACATTACAGTGAAATTGTTCAGTTCATAAATTATGTTAAAAAACCCTCAACAACTATATGAACCGGAATAATCTATAAAGCTCTTCATTTGATATACCTCCATATAAATGAATGTTTTTAAGTTATTTTCTATTTATACTGATTTCCAAATCACTCATATGAATGAAACAATGTTAATATTTCTTTTAGAAACATCTTTCTAAAACACACTTCTATGAATTACTTAAAATTTAATCTTACTACAAATATTTCTCCTAGGAAAGCTAACACTCCTAAGAGTAATATTTAAAATACTAAAGCTCACATTTGGATTTGCTAGACTAATAAAAAACTGCTTTCTCTCTTTTGAAGAGAGAAGTTTAAACTATTTTAAAGTGAATCTAAGGAACTTTTTTACTATGTAAAAAAAAAATCAACATTTTAAGCTCAGTAGGTTGCAGAGTGGCTTTGATATATTTTAAATACTTAATCTGTGAAGCATTTTTTACTAATTCATGAACTTCTTGACAGAAAGTACTGGGTTTTTTTTCCCAACTCAGCAAGTAAAAAACAATTGTAAATGTAAAGATTTGGAAAATGTCCCTCAAAGAAGTGTTGAAAATACTTAAAACAGACATGAAACCATAGTCTCCCCCCAATGATTACATATTTATCAGTAGTTGCTATAGTAATTTATAACACTGAAAATCATCAAACTTAATATGGTCAGTACTATAGGCATACTGAAAAATGAACCATAATTACATGAGACCACAAATACCTTCCCCACACGTTTTTGTCACAGATCTACTTAAAAGATACTGATATACTTAAGCACTACAGTTCACTACAAGATTTTGTAAGCTTTTGTTTCCAATTTAGTACCTGTAAATTAGTGCTAAGTGCTGTGTAACCATCAACATAAACAAAACTCCCACGTTAGTTTTCAAGCTTATACACAACTATTTGCCTTCTCTAAAATAACTCCTACAGAATGGTATTATTTGCCTTCATAATTTTCTAATGCTGAGCCCAACTGAAAATTAAGTCACAATTTCACATTGTATTTGTGATGTAAAGTCCACGCACTAAATGCAGTGACTTCAGGGAGCTTCTCCTGTAGCTAAATGCATTCAGAACCACCAGAATAAAAGTTTGCTCCCATCACCAAGCAGAAGTAGTGATTCAGAAGACTAATAGCACTTCAAGTAAAAGTCTCTTTGATTACTAAACAAGATATAGTACGCTTTTACTGTAATTCACAGTTTACTTTACCATCACATTTTAAAGCTGTAAATTTCAATATATGCACTTATTTCCATCAACACATAATTGGATTTACTTCTAATTAACCTATGTTTGACAAAACACTTAGCTTTAATATACAGATTTGGTCTGGAGTAGCAACAACTGTAAGTGGACAAGAAATTAATCTTCCTCTTTCAAAAATCCTAATTGAGAAAATAATATCCTTAATGTTGATTTTCTTACTAGATACAGGAGATCTCAGTAAATACATCAAAAACATGATGTTATTTCCCTAACGTGCACGCTATTCAGAAACCACGCCTAGGGTCTTCATGCATCATGTTCATTCTAATCTTAAAAATGCAAAAGATGTGCTTTATGTAGCTTCTATTATTAAAAAGGTTCCAACTGCACAGGTCACAGCCTAAAGGACTGGGCTTTTTGCTACCAGTTGATGAGAAAACAGCATTAGAAACTCTCCCTCTTTAATAATCTCACCTTCTGAGCTGCTTTAGAGGGACTCTTGTTTTTGCTTCCTTTGGGTCTTCCTCTTGGTCTTTTAGGAGATGGTTCACCAGTTGGTTCCTAAATACAGGAAAACATGCTATTGTGGCAAGAGGCTACAACTAACCCAGAACATCTAAAGGATAAACTGTAACTGATAAGTTACTTAAAACATGTGAATTAACCGTATAAATAAATAACACAATACTTAAAATGCAACATGAAAAATTAAACAACTCGAGGTAAAGAAAAAATACATTTTGCCCAACAAAAGAGTTTAACTTCCCTTATAATTGCATAAAAACTTTGAAATGTTCACCATGTGAGTTATAGAAGAAAACACAATTTTAGAAGATGGCTATGATTTCCCTCACATAAGAATGATTATTCAAAAAACAAGTTACCCATTTAATTTCAACTGCATTTCATTATAGCAAGATACAATTATCATATGCAGTTTCTAGCACAAACTTTTTTTGGAAGGGGAAAGTTAACTACTAGAAAACTGTAAAGTAAGCTTAGACTATTTTCTCTCTCACGGGCACAAATACTTTGGTTTTTTTTCTGTTGTTCTGCAGTCAGCATTATACTCACACCTATTCTAAACATAATTGATTTGTACTAAAATGCAAATATAGAAGTTTCTTCAAACAGAGCACTAGCAAGCCAAAAAAACTCGACAAAGGCAAATATCTTGAAACAATACCCCAACTCTGAAATGACTCGACAGGAACACTTATTATTTTAGCTGTTTCTTAACTAGCTCCTCTGCCTGACAGTAAATAACCAGCCCTTAAAAATGGGTATGAATTACGAAGAGTTCGGATTCCAAATATTTATTCAGTGAATCATAAACACTATAAAACTCTTCTAGCTTTTAATATTATACATTTCATTCAGATTACAGGATGTGGTAAAACTAATTAAATGCAGTTTGTTAACTTAAACCAGCTTAAAACCCTTTAGCTTTTCGAATTCCCGGGTAGGTTGAGGGAAGGCTGGCGAGGGGACTCCCCAACTGCTCCAGCCCTCAGTGGCGAGCCTCGCAGGCACTGCACAGCACGCTTTAAGGGGACGCGCTTTTCTTTCTCTTCCATACATCCAAACGCTATAGGAGAACAAAAAAAGGTGTGTGTGGGAAATAATAATAATAATTAAAAATTAAAATAGCCCCGGCGGGAGCTCGCAGCGCTGGGGCTGGGGCTGGACGAGGGAGCTCGGAGGGTGAAGCGGGACCGAAGGGCCGGGAGCCGCTCCGGTGAATTGTCACTGAGGAGGGCAGAGCTCAAAAACCTGGGGCTCCGCTTTCATGCCTTTCCAAAAAGTACTACTTTCTGTACGATTTGCAGCAATACATCGGTGGGAAAGAAGGGGGAGCAAAGCAGCTGGGTTTCTCGGGGCTCTTCTGTTTTTTCACCGCCCGCCGCGTTTTCGGAGCCCCTCGCAGGCTCCCGGGGCAGCGGGCTGATGCTAAATGAATGGGAGTCAACCCCTTTAAAGCCCGCGGAAGCTCACTTTAAAAAATGAGCTCCCCAGGCAGCGCTAGTTCCCAGTCGTGACTTCCGAGGGA